GTCCTTTGAGGTGTTCCACGAACAGCAAGCATAGACCTGCATCCTTCTCCCCGGGCTTGAACCTGGCTCGGGCTACGGATATCACGAAAGATTTAATGTGACACTTCGGGTCGGTTGATCTGTTGTAGGAGTCGATTTTGAACTTCCCCAGATTGGACATCGTCGTTTCGGAAATTCTTTTGGTGAAGGGCGTATTCCAAGATTCTTCTAAAATTCGGTCGATGTTTGGTGCAGAGGATGAAACGCTATGTATCTGGGTTTTGACGAGCTTCATATCAGATTCCGCCTTGGCTAGGGAGGCTCGGATCTTGCTGAGCTCATCCTCCCTTTCGGATTCTTCAGCCCATCTTATGTTCTCCTCAGTTTCTTCATCGTCAGTGAGATCTGTTCGCTCGGCGGAGTTAGCTCCGGCTCGGGTACGCTCATCTTGCAGGTCATCTGGCTCGTCCGTCAAGTCCACTGCGTCTGGCTCGGTGGGATCATCTTGGTTCTCGCGTCTGGCAGGGTCGGCTCGGGTTGCGACTCTGGTGTTGTCGGTTGGCGTCGCAAACGTGAGTCTTGTTGGGTTGATGCCAGGCAAGTCCCTCCGAGCTCGTGGCGGCCGAGTCTGGAAACGAGTGGTTTTTTGTTGCCCACGTGTTGCGATTTCGTCGACTCGCTGCACCAAGGTTTTGTTAGCTTTCTCTTGGTCGTCAGCTTTCTTCTGGAATTTAACCATTAGATCTTTTAGTTCGGCTAGAGTCGCTATGATCGTCGGATCGGCTTGAGGATTCTGAGGGTTCGGAGGGTTAGGGTTCCCTCCTCCGGCTGGTGGTGTCTGATGACCGTCTTCGTTCATCGTCCTTTTCGGTAATCGAGTTCTGCGTCTTAGGGTAAGAGAATTCTAAAGTGTCCCCACAGACGGCGCCAAACTGTGGAAGTCGAAACTAACACAATCAAGATTTGTCTAGGGTTTTAATTTAGGGATACGATAAATGTGAATTCTCAAAGAACAACAGAAACAATTGTAACCAAAGATGGTGTTCTTGATCTTATTGATGAAAAGAGTAGTTTTGATCGTACAAGAGTTTGATCGTAAAAGAAAAAGATGTTTGTGCTGTGAGAGCTTTGCGTAGTGTAAATCCTAGAACGATATTGCTTGCTTTCTACGAGAGCCTTGAGTCTCTTTTTATAGGGGTGATAAACCGCATCTCCAGCGATATTCTCGGAAGATTTCCATTTATCTTGAAGTCGGTGTAGAATATCGCGGATCAGGATAATTTCCTTATTCTTCGGAGTTTTTGGAAGATTTCCTGATTTAAGTTGATCCTTCGTGATTCTTCTTTATCATTTCCGGGTTTATCGGAAATGATCCTTCTTGTTCGGAAATGATGCCTTGCTTGGAAATGGTACTTTGAAAGCGAATACTAAGTCTTTGCCTCGGGACACTCTATGAATTTCTGCTCGGTGAACGAAGTCCTTTTTGCCTCGGGTGACTTGGTTCTTTGCCTCGGGTGATTTTGCCAAATCGGCTCGGGACGAAGGGAGAATTCAGCTCGGGTGAGGATATTCTGGGTCTCATTTCCGAGCTGAAGCAGGATGACCCGAACCGGTTTAATCATGTCCTAACCCGAGCCGATTCGGTGATTGATCCCGAGCCGATTTGATCGTCGTTTACCGAGCCAGTTCGGCGAGTGATCCCGAGCTGGCCTAGTCATAGTTCCCCGAGCCGTTCTGGTGGTAGATCCCGAGGTGTCATGTTTTGGCTCGATCTTAACGCGGGTGGAATCCGACCCCAACACTACATGTCACATTTTCTATCTCAATGATTGTCCTATCACATGGTGCTCACAAAAACAAGAAACCGTTGCTTTATCGTCTTGTGAAGCCGAGTTTAAGACTCAAAAGTCAAAACAAAAGCTTTTGGTGTAGATTGTTTTACTACACATTATAATTTTTTTTTGACCACACGTTTCAAATAAAAGATCATTTATTTGGTGTTAGTATATCCATTTTTTTGTCAACTGATCTGAATTAATATAAGATTTAAAAGTACAACAGTTTTTGGCAATCAAAATCTCAAAAAATTGAGCCACAACCACATCTCAAAAACACACCTACAAAAAGCCCTTTAACCTAATAAACAAGGTTTATATAGGAAAACCGAACCGATTTGCCCAATTTCCAGTTCAGTTCGATTCGGACAAATCGGTTCGGTTTCTTATCCTTGACCTAGTCGGAACCATATAGATATTTTCTAGATCCAACAATACAAACCGGAGTAAAACTCTCACTCTCTATCTAAGTTCAAATCACTTAAGCGACAAATTTTATGAAAATATTTTTGATCATAGTGACGTTGTTTTGGATCCTATGTCGTTGCCACGTCACCATCCAAGTTAGCACAGTAAACGGTTGACTAATTTCTGTGAAGGTTAATTTCGATTTAGGCAATTTTATTGAAGTTCATACATATTATTTGAATTTTTTAGTTGTTCGGATTGAAATAAGCAATGTGATTTTATTCGTATATGAAAATGTACGAAAGAAAAAGCTCGATTTGAAATAAGCCATTTGCCCTAAGCCGGACACACCAGATACCAAAGCCAGATTCAACCGGAAACCTAGACCGGATTCTTCTAGAAAAACCATTTTTAGGCTCCGATTGGTAATCGCATAATGGTGGAATGACATTTTTTTAATGTGATTATGCAAAAAATTTGTCAATAAAAAAAACTACATAATTGCATTAAAAACCGCAAAAACGCCTGATTTGCATTTTCACTTAAAGAAACAGAAATAAAATCTCATTATGCAAATAAGTAGGTCTATAGTTTTTATTTGAGAATATATTTTTATTATTTTATCCATACAAAATAATTCTTTACAATAAATCTTACATAATTTTTGAATAATATTTAAAAAATTTACGATGTTTTAACAATTTTTTAATATTTGTATATTTTTGTTATCAAATATTAATTAAAATTTATTAAAAATATTATTTTTGTTAAATATAAGTATATATTAGTGATATAATATTATATTCCGCTATTATTTTAGTTATCCAATTAACATATTTTTTAAAATAATTTCATTCTCTGATTTTTCATTTTACAATTTTTCGTTTTTCGTGTTTTCATTTTACAACTTATGTCATTGGGAAAAATGTCGTTTTATCTCCCAACTTTCAAAAAGTGGCCAATCAATACGTCAACTTCTCATAAGGCCATTTTAAACACAAACTTAGCGTTGACCACACAAATGACCAGTTGGATTTCGTTGACCCGGCCTATTTACACACGTCGTTAAATCCGATCACAGACCCACTAACAGACTTTAACACCCATTAACGTTTCTCTGTTAGTGACCAAAACGTCGCCGTTTATGCTTAAAACGAAATCACAATCCCATAAATCCCCAAATCAAAACAAACAAACCCTAAAATCTATTCTCAATTCCAATTCTCAGATTCTTCTTCTTCTTCTTCCTAATCTTCTTCTTCTTCTTTATCTTCTTCTTATTTTTCTTCTCCGAGTTCTCCATCTTGAGCTAAAGAAATGAGTTGCAATTCGAATTCGAATTCGAGTTTTCAAGAGGGAGGCCGTTGGGGACGTGGGTTTCCTTCGAAGTGTCATTGCGGGTTAGACGTCGTCATATATACTTCGGCGTCGAAGCAGAACCCTGGAAGACCACTCTTCCGCTGTCCAACAAAACAAGATGTAAGTAGAATTGATGTAAGTTTGCAAGGACATTCAACACCATCATCATCAATATAGCAACATTTTGCAGCAACCATTAATGATTCAGACCTATAGAGTTTGATGTTATACCTTGTCTTCAAAGAATACATCATTATTGCACGCTTGAAGTCATCCGGAGAATTGAAAGTTTTCTCTAGAGCTAGCAAAACCTCTGGGTCGTCTTCATCTCCACGAACTGCCTCTTCTCCGGCTCTAACTTCATCTTCGTCGTCGGATGGCAAAGGATCTGGAATCTTATCCTCCTCCCAGATATCATCTCCGCTGTCAGAATCAGACCCAGCTTCTTCATCTGCTCTATAAGCTTCTGGAAAGTCTTCTGCAATGTTGAGGTTAACATCTTCTTCGACAACGTTACCATCGTCCTCATCGTTATCTCCAACACCTACTACATCATCAACACCATCGCAATCTTCATCATTATACACGGCGCAGTCATCTTCTAAGTCAGGCTCATGATCCATTTCAGGCTCATCATCATCTTCTACGCCTCAGAATCTTCTTCATTTTCGACGCCGCCCTTTAACTCGACCTTTATCAACATTAGCAGCCTCTGCTGCGCCTACAGTAGCTTCATCAACATTAGCAGCCTCTGATGCGCCTATAGTAGCTTCATCAACATTAGCAGCCTCTACTTCTGCTTCGTGAGCTTCTCTGATTACAGCCTCCGCTTCGTGAGCTTCTCCGGCTTCAACCTCTGCTTCGTGAGCTTCTCCGGCTTCAACCTCTGCTTCATGAGCTTCTCCGGCTTCAACCTCTACCTCACCTTCCATTGGTGACCCAATCCTCGATATAACGTTGTTGAGTCTTACTAATGGCAATCGTGAAAACAAAATACGCAATCTTCAAGCTCGATTATAGGGTTTTTCGTTTTGGAGAAATTAGGGTTTGTTTTGATTTGGGGATTTTAGAGATTGGGGATTTTTCGTCTAAGTATAAAACGACTGTGTTTTTTTATCACTAACAGAGAAACGTTAACGGGTGTAAACAGACGTTAATGGGTCTGTTATCGGATTTAGTGACGTGTGTAAATGGGCCTGGTCAACGCAATCCAATTGGTCATTTGTTTGGTCAACGAAAAGTTTGTGTTTAAAATGGCCTTATCAGAAGTTGACGTATTGAATGACCACTTTTTGAAAGTTAGGGGATAAAACGACATTTTTCCCTTATGTCGTTATACAATTACGCAATATTACCAAAAAAACATTTTTTTACCATCATATATTAAAATATGAGTTTTGCACCCACAAAAAAATAAAAGCCATTGGTTGACGACAAAATTAATCGGCCAAAATTACATCCATCTGTTTTCTTTCAGTCTCTCACTCCCTATCTCCAGCTCTCGTTGGAGCTTCCTTCCCTCATTTGCAATCGAAATCGTAGGTTTACCACTTAAGCAATATTTCCTGGTGAGTTTCAATCTGCTGAATCTCAAAACCCTAATTCTGTTCTTAGATTTTTGGTTCAACGGTTTTTATTGGATCATTGATATATAATATAGTTAGCATAATGAATAATAATGGAGATTGTGAATACACCTGTGAGATTGGAAACTTCATTTGTTGTTTCGTCTATTTGTGTCCATTGACGCGTCTTTAATTGAATCGTCACAGATAAATTTCGAAGATCTCTTCATCATAAAAGCATTTTTTTTATTTCTAATTGTTCTATTCCTTATATCGATTTGAATGTTTGAATATGTGTGGAATCGATTAGTGCTCTTACATTTCATACTTCTTTCGGACAAACCTTGTTTATCTTTAATTGTTAATCTGTATGGAATCGTAGAACAATTTAGGTATACACTTATCATAATTTGTAGATGTGGCAAGTATAAAACTTTTGCTTGAATAATTAGCATTCTAAATTATAATTTGCAATCTAATTATAATAGGTGTTTATGTTACAGTACAACGCGAGAATGGCCAAGAAGGCGATGGAGAAAGGATTTAAGCTGATTCTTGGTTCTCAGTCGATGGCAAGAAAGCAGATTCTGGCTGAAATGGGCTATGATTTCACTATTGTGACTGCAGACATTGATGAGAAAGCTATTAGGAAAGAGAAGCCTGAAGATTTGGTTGTGGCTATTGCTGAAGCCAAAGCAAATGAGATTATATTGAAATTGGGAGGTGAAAGTCAGTTTGCACAAGATTGTCAACCAACTCTATTGATTACTTCAGACACTGTTGTTGTGTACAAAGGTGTCATCAGAGAAAAACCAACCAGTAAAGAAGAAGCTCGCGAGTTTATCAAAGGCTATTCCGGGTCACATGGGGGCGTTGTGGGATCTGTTCTTGTGAGAAACTTGAAAACTGGAGTTAGAAGAGGAGGATGGGACAAAGCAGAGGTTTATTTCCATGAGATACCAGAACATGTCATCGACGATCTTATTGATGATTCAATAACTTTCAAGGTTGCTGGAGGTTTAATGCTTGAGCATCCCCTCATTTCACCTTTTATCGATTCCGTGGTGGGAGGCGTTGATACAGTCATGGGACTTCCTAAAGAACTTACTGAAAAATTCATTAACGATGTTTTGTAGCTCAAGAGGCTTTTGATTATGTCGGAAGGATTAGATTAATACTTTTGTTTATCTAATGAATCATTTATATTGTAAGTGGGTAAAGTTAGGATTTTACCTACTTGTAATCATTTGAAATGTGTCAAAATTTAAGACCGCAAAAGAGCTTCTCGTAGATAAAAAGTAGGGAAAAACCCATTTGATGGGTTCTCTCCTTCTGTCGGTAACAATTTTTTTGTTATGAATTCAACTGTTGTTATGTGTCTAGTGCTTTTAACAAAAAGGTTCATGTGATCTTGGAGGTTCCTTCTGGAGAAAATCTTACGTATTTGGTGATGAGAATTTCATCGAAATGGAAAACAGAGGTGTTTCTAGTTATCTTAGGTTACAATAAAAACAAGGTAAATAAATCAGGACATCAGTATCATATATGCAATGATATCAGAAAGACTCCATTCACAAGTGTGTAAGCTTCATACTTCGAAGTTAGTGACTGTTAGGTTAGGTGGTTGAACTCTTGATTGGCTTGCGATATTTTCAGTTTATGTTTGTTAAAGAGTGACGATATTCGAGATAGATATTTTCTGTTATGTATTGAATCAATCAGGAGCACCAAATTGCAACGCTAGTCTTTCTGAAAATTTATTAGAAATTTTTTATAAAACAATTTACTAAAAGGGTGTTATTCAATCATGAATCAATACAATAATAACACTAAGGATCTCTCTAAGCCTGATATATCAGCATTTTGGGCCCTTTTCAGGTTGACACCTCATTAAAATCATCATCCAATAAAAACATATCGATTAATAAACATCACCTCCCTACTTTGCTACATCAGCTTTTTATAAATAAAAAAACACATTATTTAAAAAAGACAACCAATCAAATTAATACAATCATACACATAATGATTTTAAATTTTTTTATAATGATAAATAAATTTCTAATTTGTTTAATAATTCAATATCTACAAAGAAAAATACCCTCTTTATTTTTTAAAAAGTTGTTTGACATCAAATAGTTTTTAGAGAACAACATGCATGAAGTGAATTTAACAAGTAGTTTACACGTGTTGCTTTTGTAAATTAATTTTGTTTTAATATAAGTTTTACGGTAAAAATGTAAGAGGTTCTTCAGATTTACATTTGCTAGTATTTTAATTTTTTTTATTTTATTAGTTTATATATGCATACACTAATAAATAATTTTTATATCTTACTTTTACAAAAAAATATACCGTGTAGTTAATATTTTTATTTGTTTTTTATTATTTTATGTTTTTGTATAAGTTTAACTTTTTATTAATGTTAGATTTGTTTTTATATTGTGATATATGTAAATACGTTTCAGTGAATATTATACTCCAAAAACCTTAGATTATTTCTGGTAAAATTATTTGTGGTACACAAGCACAATTAGAATCATAGTTTATTCATAAGAGTTTACGATTGCTAAATTGGTTTACATTTCTTTTTTTCAATTCAAGAAATTCACAACAATAAAGAACATTACACTCTTAGGATTGTAATCTCACACTTGTTCTATTATCCCGTCTTGTTACTTCAAGATGTATGGTCAAACTTGAATCTCTATGTTCCTATTACACATGTATCTTGTTTCACTTGATCATCTGCATATAAAGCGCAAAGCTTTGTTAGTTTCTGTTCAAAATAAAATCCCTAAAGGGAAAAATGGTCAACTTATTTTATGTTCTAACCATAGAAATGTGTAGCCAAGTGAAGTTTACATTTACAATTTGACTTATTTTGGATTTATGCTCTTTTTGTTGTTTGTAAATTTTGGCTAAAATATCGCAAATGTTATTGATTAATTTGTTATTATTAGTGATCTATTATATAAAGATATATAATTCAGCATAGCAAAAAGTTGAGAATTAACTCTGTATTTGTGGTTTATGTTTGAATGAAGGTGATCTCATTTTGTTAGCTCAAACGCTTGATCTACTCTATTCCAAGAACATTTAATGGTAAAATCATATATATGAAAGTTGGCCAACTCTCTCCATATGAGTGTCACATCATCACAAAAAAAAATGACATGTGTCATTTTGTATTATTTAAATAAAAAAATTTGCCAAATTAAATGAGAAAAAAATAAAAGTTCTCTCATAACAAAGACAAGAGAAAGATGGGATTCCCTTAAAATGGTAAGAACCATAGGATCGTCATTCTGTAATTGTTTATCTTTGAACATTCTAATTTTAAGTCACGAACCAAGTTATATTAAGCAATGTTTATGAATTGTTTAGCCTATTCATTTAGAAAAACCCATAACAAAGTCTGGTCCATCTTTTTCGATTTCTATATTTTCATGAAATTTTCGTAACTTGTGTTTAATTAACTTTGTCTAATAATTTTTTCAAGAGAGATTGATGTCTCTTGTGGTCGACAGACTAATTGATTACAATAGTAAATAATATTGTTTTGAATTTGATTGTTTAAATAAAACAAATTTCAAAAAATATCCGCAGCGTAGCGCGGATTTTGACCTAGTTTTTATAAATTTAACATTAATCCACTGTTATTCAATTAATGATTCTAAATCATGCTCTAAAATTTAGTCTTATTGGATCTTATATTTGTAAATCATGCTTGATAGATTTTAAAGTTTGGTGTTATTCAACTAAGATTGAATTCAACTAAGATTGTAAATACTTATTTAAAATCTAGTATTAATCAAAACAAAAAGACTTCTAAAATCTTTATATATTAAGTCCTTTGAAATGAAATCTCTTTGGAGTTTCATATGTAAATTATTATAATCAAATGCATAGATTTTGAAATCCACAAGAATAGATTTTTAAAAACAATATCAAATTTCAAATCTAAATCCTAAGGCTTTTTAACTCCATGATTGAATAACATTACCTAAGAAATAAACTAAAATAATGAACTTTTAATTTTCGCACATAATATGCTAATGTCTTGGGTCTTATCATAAGACTATTATGCCTTTCCGCACGATTATGATCAGTTCATCTCAATTAATCAATACCTTCGGATCCGGCTTGAAAACGTTGTACTAGAGTCTAGAGGAATCATTTTCTTCAATGTATTAGCTAAAACAAAACTGAAGAAATGCCTTGCTCAATAGCCAAGTCCCAAACGACACCGAATTTGACTTGGTCTTTGTCAATATTTCAAGTCCAAACCTAGAATATAGTAATCGTTCCGCGTTGATCCAGTATAATCGAATTATGACTAAAATAAAATAAATATGTGATTAGTACATAAAATATTTCCCGTTAACTTTCTCTGATTATATTAGTTAACTATGTCCACAAATTGTGTATTAAACATACAATTTACATTATTGTGGCATGTTTTTGTGGAACCGGCCCACTAACTCCATAATCAACTGGATCATTAAATATTTGTCATTACGATTTTCATGGTGTCACTAACTCAGTATGCATGAACCTCGTCTTAGACTCTGATATATAGGTTATGGTTAGTTTAAGTTTTCGCTGCTTTTTTATCAAGACCTTTAAAATGAATTGAGCACTACTATATATAGTTAATTAATTTGTTTCTCATTTTCACTATTCTTTCTCTAAAATAACACCTACTATTTTGAACCCATCCAATGACTGAAAGACATATAAATACTACAACTTGGTACGGAGATCTATAGCAATGTTCGTGACAAAATATTTGAAAATGTAACAAAGTATCAACTTTTGTTTGTTCGAAGCTCAGTAATGGGTGAGGAGGTACGCTAAACCTTTAAGGATTGTTAGGATGTCCCATTGTAATCTTTAAAGTAATTGGATAAGGTGATTGAAGAGGGGTGGATATGTTCCACGATAAAAATGTCTTGGTTAGTTTGGTTCAAGGAAAACTGAATCCTAATCAAGAAATGACCAAGGAATAACTTAAGGGCGAAATATATCTCCACTTGTAATTCAAAGGAAATATCAAATGGCATTTTTTAGATCAAGTGAATGATAGTAGAACAAGACACGCTCACAGGAAACATCAAGAGAATGATCACGAGATCCAGATCAAAGACTATGTTAGAATCAAAATAATGATCGATGAAATAAGTTATGATAAGTGGACGATTGATTGACTGAGTTAATTAGTTATCATGATCTAAGAATTGATTAGAAGACTTAGACAAGTGAATTGGATTTTAATACTTGAGTTGAACTGAACTGATCGGAAGCTCAACTCACTAGGTGAACTGATCAAATTATTACCGGATTGAGTAGACTAATTGATACCTGGCTAAGCTAAGTGGACTTATATTCCTACATGGTAGATAAGCAATTTTGGGATAATAACGTGTGGTATGGATCGGACAAGCATGCAAAGGCCAATTATGTATAACTAGTAGAAATTTTTCGTATAACCACGGTTTAGCCATGGACATTCGTGGCTAATTTCATACCAGCCACGAATTAGTCACTAAAAAATAACGTGACAATTTTCGTGGTTTCTGGTGGTTTTTCGTGGCTAATTTTTGCCACGGATTTTATCTGTAGCAAATTCGTGGCTATTTGCTACGAAAAAGCCATAAAATTTTCGTGATTATTTTATTTTCGAATTTATTTTATTATATAGCAACGAATTTGCTACAGATAAAATCTGTGGCTAGACGAAAACCTAAATCTTAAAGACAAACTCTAAATTTATAAACTCTAAACAAAAATCTAATTACCAATGTATACCCTAATTAAAATTAAGATCCAACACTTTTATAAAATTCTTAATTTTTAAATCAAACATTTCAAATCTATACCCCAAACCCTCAATTTAACTCCAAATCCTAAAATCTAAACTTTAATTAAAATTTTCATTATAGAAATTAAACCATAAACCATCAAACCAAAATATAACCATTACATTTACATAAAACCAATATTTAGAACCATTTACAAAAAAATCAGTTGTTTGTTAAGAAGAAAATAGCAAAATATTTGAAATCTAATCAATTTTTTAACCCTAAACCAAAACATAATCAGTATAATAAACTAAAATCAAATAAAAATAAAGTTTTAAAATATAATCATCATTTTATAAATTCTAAACTGGAAACCATAATTAATAAATATATTGAACAAATAAAAACAAATGTATTTAATAAAAACACATACAAACAAAAGTTATAAAAATATAGACAAAATGCAATAAAAGAGACTTGATTCTCATTGGTTACGTCACATTGACGAGGATCACAGTTTTGTTGATCATCCACCGTT